ACTGTAAGACCCACCAATACGTGACATTTTCTTTACTACTGAGTACACTACGATGCCAACTACAACCCTTATATTCAGAATATGATAGCCTGCAATATAATTGTTTTTATTGCAACTTATAGCGCCTTATGTTAATTATTTCCTTTGCTCCGATAACATTCATTACCGGACAATGAAAAACCACAAGCACCGAGGCGTCGCCACATATGCAGCCTCTGCCTTCACGACTTAGACTTTCAGCTATTTACTAAAACCTTACGGTTGAAGGCCGAAGTATTTGAGACCAGAAAGTTAAGTGCTCGGGTGCTAAAGAGACCGAGTTTTGCCTTCGAGGGGAGACGAACGAATGCAATCAAAAGATTGGGCGAGACCATGGATGCACTAACCCAAGCTTAAACAAGCACTTTGGAATTCCTATTTTCAATTAAAGCGACTCTTCCCACTTTAAGGGAGAGCCTTATCGTGTAGCTTGCTGCAGCACAGCACATACCCCTTTAGTTTTAATGTAAGCAGGATTGATCATAATAAATCGCGCCCTAGTGATACTAGTTAGGAAGACTTCTAATATCAGGCTATCGAGATAAGTGAAGACATTAGGAGATATTTGAAGGCCTCCGGCCCTGTAAAAGTCCTTTATGAATTTATCTTTGATGTTATCATGGAGAATCCGGATCGGATCAATGCGGCCCATATCTCCGACTATAGCAATGAAAACGGGTACTTAGGTAATCGGTGCCAGTATTCCTTCCAGATTATGTAAAAGCAGCACTCATCTTTTCAAATCCCTAATAGGGTCTCATTACTCACCAGCTGAGGTTCCAATCGAGTTAGAAGCGACGTAGGACGCGCCCCTCAGCCGCAAGCAGGACTCAGGGGCACACTCGCATCCCCTACGTATAAATAACTCATTCGTTGCTGAAGAGTTTTCTCCGCTTCAATTCCATACATGCTTAGCTCTCACGGCGGGCATATAGCGAGAGGTATCAACACCAACTGCGAGCAACAATGGAATCAGCATCAGCAGGCTGCAAGGCACGCCACGAAACAACCATGCCTGAACTGCAAACGGTCCAGCCTCAGGCTTTATGACGTCCAGAACTACTTCCGACATGCCGTTAGTCGTGCTGAGTTGGGCGCAAACTGTGCATTCTGCAACGCGGTCAAAATTGCCGTTCAAAAGGGAAGATGGGTAGCAGCGTCTGCCGTAGACATCATAGCAGTCGAGATGTGTGATTCCATGTTTTCTCAGGCCATGAATGGAAAGGAGGTGGACAAAGACGAAATTCATCTCAGGCCGCATTTCTCTACTTCCGGTGTTCTTTATATTGATATTTCGGAAAGGGGTTGGGGTACGCTTGGTTTCAGTCGGTTAAACTGGGTTGTTAAGCCAGGTAAGCCTCTCCCAGACGAAGTAATAGAAGCCAGATATACCGGATATTGACGAGTATTAGATGATATAGATTCTCCCCTTATTTTTCCTCGCGATTCTCGTCTGGATGGGGAAGAAAAGTTCAGCCTAATCCAGTCATGGATGGGCCAAAGCCTTGCCAAAACCGAATCTCGCTCCCACAGTCAGCAGCCTCTTCTTCCCACCCGAGTCTTGGATGTAAGCGGCAATGGGCTGAGGCTCTACGTCTCGAAGGCAGGGGAGCGCAGTCGATACGCCACTCTGAGTTACCGCTGGGGAGAATCTGATCTCTTTCAAACCACCCGGGACAACCTTGATGATCACTGCAAGGGTATAGATTGTGAACGTCTTCCCAATACTTTTAAAGACGCGATTCAAGTAGCCAAGGCGCTGCAGATTCAATATCTCTGGATAGATGCACTGTGCATTATTCAGATGGAGGATGACGAGGGCGACTGGAAAATTGAGGCCCCACGCATGGGTGATATATACCACAACTCGGTCTTTACCATCGCTGCCCATTGCGCCAAAGACCATAACGAGGGCTTCCTGGGACAAGGACTTAGCTCACCCAAACTGCGGCGTGTGCGTGTTCCCATTGATTTGTCAGCAACCTCTGGAACACAGATCCTCAAGTCTTCGGTTCGGATACCAGGGAATTTCCAGAGGCTTGTCGATGACGGGCCCCTGAGCAAGCGCGGTTGGATCTTCCAAGAGCGTTTTCTTTCCAGGAGGTTACTGCATTTTGGTGACTGCGAGATCTTCTGGGAGGACTCTTTGGGGATACGAGGAGAGTACGGTAGCCTGTACAACGACTCCACCGAGTTATCCAACCCTCCCGAGGCCTTCTACAGCCCTAGGTCCAACATGTCGTCTTTCACTGTGAAGGACTGGTGCCGCATGGTTGAAAGCTACACGCTTTGCAGCCTGACACGAGAGACGGATAGGTTACCCGCCATATCCGGCGTTGCGTCTCATCTAGCCCAGTCTATTCTCGCTGCATACCACTTTGGGCTATGGGGGAGACATCTTGCCTACCAGCTTCTATGGCGGCCCTACGAAAATTCTAAATACCGCAGCCTCAAGGACACGCCCTCGTGGTCATGGGCTAGCTATGGCGGGGCCGTTGAGTACCACTACATCGCATTTGATGAATTCCAACCTGCTACCTCATATCTTGGGACCAAAGTACAGGATATTGGGGACAACAGCCCAAGTGGCACGGTTTTCAATGGGCTTCGTACACTCCAGCTCCAAACCACGGTCATTAACATCCCATCATCCGTTTGGGAGACCGAGTGTATCCGTTGCAAGGGTTTCGGTGTGAATCACTATTGTATTATTACTCTCGCAGCCAGCGATAACACAGGCATCAAGGCAGTTATCACGCTAGATTATTCCGAGGACAAGAGCGGGGATGCCTGGCCGAATAATTTGGTTGCTGCTCTAGTTGGCCATTCCAGAAGCGTGGAGGATAGATCGTTCTTCCTGATTCTAGCTCCTACCGATCGGTCAAAGTCGGAGTATCGCAGAGTGGGCGTGGCTGATGTTATGAAGAAGGATTGGATTGAGGGTGGTGTCACCGCGAAGATTGATCTAGTATGATCAAATATGAATAACACCATGTGCGCGCATGCTATGACAAAGTCAATTCATTTGCCTGACAGGGGGTAAAAAGGGAGAGGAAAGGAACGCGACGAGCATTATTAGTAACCTTGTATTATATTTTCTGCCTCTTAGTGAAGTGTAACAGTATTAGTGCCTGGTATCCTTCTTGACTATGGGTTTCTAACATGTCTTCCTTCAATGGCCACTTATCTCTTTCTTGCTCATGTGTAGGAATCTGAGGGTTGGCAATCACGCTGTTGTCCGACCGCTCCGGCGACAATGGCGAGGCTGCCAACACCGTGGATGATGTAAAAGACAGGCCGGCTGGGCTGTGGATAACCTCCGTCTCGAAGCTGCCTTGCAGTTTCTGATGATGTCTGTAGTAGTTGGCGCTGCGATACCTCTTTCGGCCCCGAGGACGATCATCCTCGCAGTCCCAATGTGATTCGCCCTCGTCAGGGTCGTCGGATTCCTCTGCACCTGATTCATAATCGCCCAGCGCCTGCTGTGATGTCGTCGAGAGCGCCTTTCGCTTCCTAGGACTGACGCTCTTCACGCGACCAGAAGACGAGAAGAACATGCCAGGCGACCGCGGTCGCCCAGCTCATTGCGACTCAGGTCCTCGGAGCGTTGGTCTCCCCGCTCTTTGTCGTACAGGCGGACCGTATACTGTAGCGGGCCACCGCCGAAGAAGCGGTAGATGCTGTCACGCAGGATAGAGAGGGCAAAGCGCGCAAACAGGGACTTTACGGTGATTCCGACGACGTGGTATTGCAGGGGCAGTTATAGAAGTAGTAAGATATCTCGCAGCTGCCCTTAGGCAGCACAGCGTGCACGACGAGCGTCGTTAGCAGTCGTAGCGCAGAGGCGTCGATGTCTTCCGTCTTCGGCACCAAGACGAATCGGTGCTGATCCAGCAAAACCTGTACGTCGGTGCGCAACATGAGCAAGTTGACATCGTCGTTGATAGAGTGTGTAGTCTCGGGCAGGTGGCAGTATCGCCTCATATTATTGCTCTTGAGCCACTCATGATCAGCGTAGGGAACGATGTATGTAGCCTCGAAGGCCTCCAAGGATCCCGTAACGCGGCAGCTCTGATCGCGATGCAGTGCGGCTATCCTGCTGTCGGCGCCAGAGACTCCGCTGCCGCCAGAGATGCGCAGGGCATACCACGGCGTGGGGGGCGAGTTGCCGTGCGGGAATCGCCAATGTTCGAATCTCGGTACGACGGCGTAGCGATTCGCAGGGTAATCGACGACAACGCAATACGCCATACTAGAGGCCGGGATTGGCAGGATGCCATCTTCCGGCTGTGATACCCGACAGTAAGACGACCCTTCCACTCGGCCCCTGGTCGCGATGTAGGTCGCGTCATCCCATCGGTTGTCTGCCACGATGCTGCAGGCGACTCTAGCGACGTCATAGTCGATACCTAATGCGCCGTCGCCCGACACGTCGACAGCAACAAGGCTCAGGAGCTAGGGGGAGCGGTATAGGCTGGGTGGAAGAATGGAGTCTCGTTCAGTCACATCTTCACCCGACGGGATCGGAGGGGTGATGCACTCCTTGAATCGTGGCATACATAAAGTACTTCGGTACTAGAATGACACATATAAGTAGCAGCTATGCATAGGTATCAGTGATGAGTCTATTCAATGGATCCAGACTTCCAGTTCACCGAGCAATGAGATGATCATGTAGACAGATGAGTGGTTGATTCGTGAGTGTCGATGGATGGGTGAGTGAGAGTGAGTGAGTGGATGGGGATGGGGCTTCTCACGCAAACTGTTGGCACAGAAACAGAACCCCGCGCGCCCAAGTCTGCAAAACCTTGGAGGCTTATTGCACAAACCTCTGGTAGAATGTCAAACAAGTACCAATTCACCTGTGAGAAACATGGCCATCCCGCTTCAAGATCTACTGAACCTGGCGCACCGTGGAAGAGAGCTGAAAAAAAAAAAAATTTTTGAAGGGAAATTATTAACTCCGAATCGGGGAATCGAACCCCGGGCTTGACGGTACTTCTTCCTGAACCAAAGGACGGAGGATGAGAGCGTCAAATGTTAGCCACTACACCAATTCGGATTTAAGCAAAGCCAAGCTGCCCACTAGCGGAATCGAACCGCTGATCTTGTCATGGCATCTAGCATTTACTAGTGACACGCTATACCACTTAGCCAAGCGGGCGAAGTTGATTGGCTGATTTGCCGATGGAAACCGCTTCGCAAAATGCTCCTATATTGTGCTGCTAGCAAGTCCTGTCCCGGGTACACGTCCGATTTATGATTTTACCAAACACCTCTCTCTACCAACCTCTAGGTAAGTAAGTGCAACAGTGACTGGTGGTGGTCTATGCGTTTAAGGTACTGACTTCAGCTAATCTTGCAATCTCCTGCGCAGCAATATACCGGCCCGGCTTAGCCTGCGTGAGGTGCCCGAACGTCTTCGCCTTGTCGCTACTACGCGCAACCCTCAGCATAGTCTCAGATAAGCACAGGCTCGTCCACGTTGGAATTGTCTCTGGGCATCCCCAGACCCCGATTCCGGTGTATTCGCTAAGGCCTGCGAACCCATAAATATCCATCCTATAGATTTCGTAAGCCAAAATAGTATGTGGGCATGCTCATGACTACCAAAGAAAGCTGTACATTCCTGTCAACGTACTAGAGGGGCAAGATCACCTATAGGATTCCAACACTAAATCTAAATAGTACCGTGAGTGGTCATTTACTGTTTCATGAATCCGAGCTGAACTTAACTTAAAGTCTCATGATGACACCTTGAGCCCCCATGATGAACAGAGACAGTGATCCCCGTCCAACCAGGAGGGTGAATTGCGTTCGAAGTGTTCTTTCCAACTGTTTTGCATATATCTATCAAGGAAAACCCTTCAATTTAGTGAAAAACAATATCCCTCGTGCCCAGAAGCCGAAAGTGTGACGAAACACCCTCAAGCCTTAGCCTTTGATACCATGTGGGCAAAGGATCCGAAGTACAGCTGGATGTGGAGATGTCGCTTCAGCAAGGTATGGGTTGTCGCTACGTGAATATTGGAGAGGCCGTAATTGCCGGTCGAGAGAAATAGAGCTGTGTTGTTGAGGCCAATGATGGGTGGGGACGCTGAAGTTGGTGGTGATATCACCGACCGCCAGAATAACAATCAATACCACACTAACAGCTCCAACAGTAAATTTATTTTGCGCCATGATTAAACGTCTTGATCTCTCTTTGACTGAATGTTGGATCGTTGGTGGTAAAGAACTGTATAAACGGGAGTTGCACCCATACTAAGAATCCCCAAACTATCGTACCCCTCACAGCCTCTTCTTGTACGTTTACAGTCGTTAATTGCGAATTTGATATCCGGTGGTTGGGTTGAGAAGGTATAGATTATATCATGCAACTGAAATAATGCGCCGGTTGAAGCAGCTGATAGCGCTGGCATGGGGGCACCCCTATAGTCCTGATTTCCAAGTCGAAGGGGAATATCACAGCGACTATCAGGCTGTATGGACGATGTCTGATCAGATACTTATTGTGATATTGAATTTTGACTAGCTTTCCAGATCCTACGCAGCACTGACAGGCTCTAGGGCGAATGCCTTGACCCTCTTAATGAAACACCTAGCATTGCTCCAAGAGAATTGTGGTAGCTGCCAAGGGAGTTATACTGCATACGCACCGTAATTGATAGTGATTCACTTCATTGCCAGGATTTGAATTTGTAATGTGAAGAGTTCAAATTTAAAAGCGAAGCGAAGTGTTGGGCTAGGGAAGAGCACTACAACACTATACTAAGGTACTACTGGCAAAAGTGAAATGTTGTTAAGTAGTAGATTTAACTACCTGCAGCTACTTTGTTTATATGCAGACTATCGCGCATTTGAAATACCTGTTGAATCTTGAAAAGTTCGTTTCGATATGTGTCTGGTGCCGTCGTCGTTTCAGACAGCTTGGCATCCTGATTGACTTTGGATCTCGGCCAAGAGTACATCCCAGCTTTCCTCATTCCGATGATATACTCTGAGTTGACCGCTGATGGGCTCTACAGTTCCGGTTGAGATAAGCTGAATTAGTCGAGTAGTCTTTTCGTGTGTCGCGGTACGCGGTCAATGGCTGGGATGGCAACTTTGAGTTAGTGTCCTGTTTAGAGTCTGTAATGGTCAAGAATATTGTGATCTGAACATAAGTTGAGCCGAAGAGACGTGAACTAATTCTACTAGACAACAAAGGGGGTGACTTTGGGAGCCATTAAAGATAGGGGCATTCATTGGTCAAACGAATTGAAGTCGATTGTCTCGTCTGGTGAACAATGGAGTTGTACAGAAGGTAGTTGTGTAAAAGTGGCGCGCTTGCGGGCCCGTTTCCAGTGGGTGTACTCCGTACAGGTTCTGGAACCAGTTGGCTTGCACCACTGTAATAACCATTATGGACTCAGCATGTGGTTGAATAGACGTGCAGTGATACCCTCCACGTGAAGCCGCCGAGGGATCAATGTTACCTATTTGTCTTGCGCCGAAGCTTGCATTCTCCATTCGTTACTTAAGTACTTACCTACTTACTTAAGTACCCAACCTACCTGGAGTACCTACTGTACGGAGTACCTAAGAGGTATACCTAAAGGAGGGAAGCCCCCAGTAAATTTAAAACATTCCGCCCTCCCATTGGCCAGCTCTCCTGCATACGCCATCGCCAGCAAACGTCATAGCACACCTAAGCCTCATTCGGGTTGGAGAACTGGGCAGTTCGGGAGCGCATGGGCCCGAGGATCCCCCGGCTTCTGGAACCTTACAGCTCCGGCTAACCACTGTCAAACTTTGTCCAGCGCTTGACCGAAACACCTCTGTTTGACCACCGAGGAGCCATTTCCTCTACCATCAAGCCTCCTGACGCGTCGCCAGCATCGACGCGCCCCCCATCCTAGAAGCATCGAGGTCTTCGCCATCTCGGTCCTCCACTCACTTTGGTCCCCTTCCCTCTTCTTTTCTGTCAGCGAAACCACGCCAGACACCATGTCTCGGGGTGGTACCACTCTCTACGTGACTGGCTTCAGCCAAGGCACGCGTGCTCGCGACCTCGCCTACGAATTCGAACGGTATGTCAGCTGTCCTCGTCGTCCTCGTCCTCGCCCTCGTCCTCGCGCGCGGTGAGATCGATCGACCGTCCAGCCTGCGGAAAGCGGTGTCCGATGCCACCACCCGCCAACCCGTGTCTCCTCGTCCATCGTCCACCGTCTACCGTCCACCGTCCACCGTCCACCCGTCCTAGGGGTCTCCCCGTCCTCCGCCTTCGTCTTCGTCGTTCTTGACTTCGTCGAGTCCTCGAGCCGTCTCCTTGTCCACGCTTCTACCTCCCACGCACGCCCAGAATCCATTCAGTTCTCCCTCCCCACGATCGAGCGGTCGGACCAATTTTGACTTGCATCGCGCGCGCCGAGTCGCCTGTCTGTCGCCGCAGGACAACAAAACTACTACGCATTTGATGCGAACCATTGGGAAAGTACCATATCTGTGAGATTGCTGACTTTATCACCTGTAGCTATGGTCGTCTAGTGCGCTGTGATATCCCTGCTCCCCGCAGTGCTAGCAGCAGGCTGTAAGTTCTAATGGTGACTCGGTCTAGCCGATGGAGTGTCGCTAACTGCAGCCAAAGGTTTGCTTTCGTGGAGTATGAGGATCGACGGGATGCCGACGATGCTTACCATGAAATGCATAACAAGCGTATCGGTAGGGACGATATCTTGAAGATCGAGGTAAGCATACCAAACCCGTATTTTTGGCATCAATCCGTCTGACGTCTCTATCCTAGTGGGCTCGTACGCCTCCCTCAGCTTCTTGGCGTTTTGACTCTGGCCGTGATCGTGATAGGCGCGATGGCGGCCGCGGAGGCCGATCTCCTCGCCGTGGCCGTTCTCCCTCCCCTCGTCGCAGCACTCGCGACTATTCCCCTAGGAAGGATGATCGCCGAGACCGTGACCGAGATCGGGACTACGACCGTGACCGCCGCGACACTCGTGACCGTTCTCGGAGCCCAGACACTCGGTATGCCGCCTGCCGCTTCTGACTGTTGGAGCCCGAGCTGACAAACTGTGCTTGTAGTGATCGCGACCGTGATGACCGCGATGATCGCGACCGCCGTGAACCCGCCACTAATGGTGACGACCGCAAAGGTAATTTTCTGGATCCTGAAGCAGGCCTCATTCGGACTTTGGACTAACCGTCGGTTGGCATAGCTGTCGAGAGCCCTCCACCCCAGCATGACGACCTGGATGTTGCTGACTGAAAGGTCCCCGTTAAGTAGTAGTCGTGGGCGCTGCAACTCTTCTGGGCGCTCGGGGCCAATTTATATGTCGCAGTGGGCTTCTCTTTCTTATCCTCCTTAGGCTATTGCTCATCATCTAGTCTCCTGTCCACCGAAATGCGTTGCGTTTCAAGAACGCCGCAGAGCCATAGCTATTCGTTACAGTTGCCAGTTTTTACTACAAGTAGCGGATCGTGTTTGATGGAGTTTTTAGGTAGTAAAACTCACTTTCTTTTATAGGTGCTTTTCATGAATCGTGGAGCCATCTGCACATATATCAGAATACTACCGAGATATGGAAGCGAAAATACTCTCCTGTTATGAGACTTCGATATACCCGACCGTAGGGTGTTGGTCATCCTGCACGCACGCAAAGGGCTAGGATTGCAATGTGACACTTATGCTTGTAACAAACAGTAGTGGTAAAGGGGCGTGGCGCAGTCCGTTGATTATCCCCCGATACTAAGAATTCAAGGAAACCTCATGACATGCAAAGCGGATACCTGGCTGGCCCCGCGGGGTGACTGGCGCAGGGTGGCAGAATTATGATAGCGTCTAACATGACAGTCGCACGGCTGGCGTGCCAATGTCTGATGACCACGGGATCTGGTACGTGGTACAAGCCACGGAGTACAGCTGGGAAGTTGGAAGTTGGAAAGAGCTTTCTGATTGAGATCGAGTGTCCAAATGCTCGTTTGTTTGCGCTACTTGGTTGTTGGTAGGGGATGCAGCAGAGTTACGGCCGCGAGAGCCTCGAGACCTCCGTGTGTTGGATTACCGATTCG